GAGCAGGGAGCCCAATGCGGGGCTCGATCCCAGGACCCTGGGATCATGACCTGAGCCGAAGGCAGACGCTTAACGACTGAGCCACCCAGGCGCCCCCCCACATACCCTTTAGTAGTTGCCTTAGGGTCACCTCTCTCAAGAACCTGCTGACTCCTTCCCTCTAGTAATCACTCCTTCCTCATGCACCTTTGTTCTCCCAATAGCCTTCCACCTACAAATTCGTCTGCATTCATTCGGTCTCCTTCCCACCCAGGCGGGACACTGCTGTGGCCAGGCTTCTGGTCTATCACTGGCAAGCTGCCCTGGGCTGGACCTGCCACCAGCCCCAGGAAATGTTGAATGAAGGGATGAGGGTACTGTTGGAGCTCCCACGCTCGAAGACCTGGTGCACTGGAGTTGAATGAACTTGAGTGAAAAGACAAACATTTCAGGAACTGTTTGCTCCTGAGCAAATCATCTGAATTCCGAGCCTTCATTTCCTCGGCTCTGCCTATACGTCTCAGGATTCTGGGGAGTAACATATGTGAGGTTCCCGGTACAGTGCCTGGCTTCCTGTAGGGGCTCAAATCTTTCTCACCCTCTCAGTCAAGCAGCAGAGGAAGAAAAGCTGTCCGGTCAGTGGACAGGGCAATAGAAGCAGGGGTGTAAGGGGCGGGTAGCTGGAAACCCGAGACCCCAGTGTGCTTGGATTTCTGAAAATGCTGGCCGCCTGCTCTGTCTTGGAGCAAAGTCGAGTGAGGTGGATGGCGGTGGGGGTGGCAGATCAAGGGCCTGCCAAGGCCAAGCCCTCCCCGGGGCTGCCAGAATAGACCAGCCGTCAGTGACATCACAATCCTGAGGGGTTGCCGAGGCACTGCTGGAGGGGGACCGTCTTATTTCTCCCCACGGAGCTCTAGGATGTGGATGTGAGAAAGGTGAGCCAAGAAGGAAGATGGCAACGAGGAGCAGCCCTAGCCCCATGCCTCCGGGCACGGCTCAGGGTGACCCCGGAGAGGCAGGAACACTGCCAGGTCCCGATGCTGGCATCCGGGACACGTGTTCGGCAGCTCAGCTGAAGATGAAGCCCAGGAAGGTGCGCAAGATCAAGGCCCTCATCATCGACCTGGGCTCACAGTACTGTAAGTGTGGCTACGCGGGCGAGCCGAGGCCCACCTACTTCATCTCCTCCACTGTGGGCAAGCACTGCTCTGAGGCGGCTGATGCTGGTGACACTCGCAAGGAGACCTACGTGGGCCACGAGCTGCTCAACACGGCGCCCCTGAAGCTGATGAACCCGCTCAAATACGGCATCGTGGTGGATTGGGACTGCGTCCAGAGCATCTGGGAGTACGTCTTCCACACAGCCATGAAGATCCTCCCCGAGGAGCATGCGGTGCTGGTCTCTGACCCCCCCCTCAGCCCCAGCAGCAACCGGGAGAAGTACGCGGAGCTCATGTTCGAGACCTTTGGCATCCCTGCCATGCACGTGACGTCCCAGTCGCTGCTGTCCATCTACTCCTACGGCAAGACCTCGGGCCTGGTGGTGGAGAGCGGGCACGGCGTCTCGCATGTGGTGCCCATCTCGGAGGGCGACGTGCTGCCGGGCCTGACAGGCCGAGCCGACTACGCTGGGAGCGACCTCACCAACTACCTGCTGCAGCTGCTCAACGAGGCCGGCCACAAGTTCACGGACGACCACCTGCACATCATCGAGCACATCAAGAAGAAGTGCTGCTACTCGGCACTCCTGCCCGAGCAGGAGCTTGGCCTGTGCCTGGAGGAGATGCGCGTGGACTACGAGCTCCCCGACGGCAAGCTCATCACCATTGGCCGGGAGCGCTTCCAGTGCGCCGAGATGCTCTTCAAGCCCACCCTGGTGGGCAGCAACCAGCCCGGCCTCCCCGCGCTCACGGCCGCCTGCCTGGAGCGCTGCCAGGAGGCGGGCTTCAAGGAGGAGATGGCGGCCAACGTGCTGCTGTGCGGTGGCTGTACCATGCTGGATGGCTTCCCCGAGCGCTTCCAGAGGGAGCTGAGCCTCCTCTGCCCCGGGGCCAGCCCTGCGGTGTCTGCTGCTCCGGAGCGGAAGACCTCCGTGTGGACCGGCGGCTCCATCCTGGCCTCCCTGCAGGCCTTCCAGCAGCTCTGGGTCAGCAAGGAAGAGTTCGAGGAGCGGGGCAGTGCGGCCGTCTATGGCAAGTGCTGAGCGGCGGGGCCCTGACAGGCGGGGCCTGGTGGGCAGGCGGCCTGCGACCGCTCTACGCATCCACAGAAGTTCGCATAAAGCCTTCACGTGCAGTCGTTCTGGTCTAGTCTGGATTTCTTGCTCTCGTCCAGCAGCCGGGGGAGGGGGGCGATGTGGGCTGAGCCATCTCAGCTCCTTTTGCTCTGCGGGGTCAGCAGTACCGGGAGGGCTGGGGAGGGTGCGCTGTGGCTCAGCCCCCATCGTGAGGGTGACATCCCAGGACCCAGAGTGCTGTTAGCTCCCCCGAGCTCGAAACCCAGCTCAGCAGGCAGATCGCTTGCTCGCGCGGACCAAGAGGCAAATGAAGCCCCCTGTGAAGGGACTAGCTTGCGACCCGTAGTTAAGTGGTGGTGGGCGGCTTAGCCAGGGGCCAGACTCCTATTTCTTGCCCTGGTGGTCCCACATCTTCCCACTGCTGCTCCTTGCTGGATCTCCCCAGGCGCTCTCACTAACCGCCCCCCCCCAACAACCAGCCCTTTTCAAAGGTGTAGCCCATGCGTGTGTGTCCTCTGATTGTGAGCAGCCATTTCTGCCTCTTCTGGGCCCTACCCCTTCCAACCCCGGCCAGACTGAGCTGTTTCTGCGCTGGCAAAGCCAAGCCACCGAGTCCAGAGGATGCCAGAGGATGCCAGAGGATGCCAGAGGAAACCGGAAAGCCCTTTGGAAATCACGTGATTCTCTCCCTGCGGTAGACGCGGGGAACTGGAGGACCGGGAGGGAGGGGCCTAGTCTTCTGAGCCAGGCCATGATTATTTCCAGAAGCGTAGACATGGTTGCTGTAGGGGGTGGGCTGCTATAACAAAAGACCACAGACCAGGTGGCTTCTAAACAACAGAAATTTATTTCTGGAGGCTGGGAGTCCAAGATCAGGTTGCTAGCATGGCTGGGTTCTGGTGAAAGCCCTCTTCTGGGTTGCAGGTTGCGCGCACCGTGCTGTGTTCTCACAGGGCGGAAGGGATAGGGAACGAGGCCTTTTACAGAGGCACTAATCCCATTCATGAGGGCTGCCCTTATGACCCAGTCACTTCTCAAAAGCCCCACCTCATACCGTTACCTAGGGCACTAGGCTTTCAACATATGAATTGACCACGGGGACCGGTAGGGGTCGGGGTGGGACATTCAGTCTGTAGTAGTGGTTCTTAATGGTTAGCAACCATGACCAGAATGTGACCCTTCCCTCGGGATCACACACAGCTAGTGGGGGATTCGGTGGTCACCCATGTTGGTAAGGAGATGAGTCCGGAGCTGTGTTTCTGGGGGTGGGAAGGTGGAGGTGGTACTGGAAAGCTGTAAATAGAGAAGTGATGGGCGTGGTGGCCACTTGGTGGCTTCAGGGCTAAGGGAGAAGCTGGTGAGTCCTGTGAGATTGCAGCTCAGGGATGACCGTCTGCCTAGAGGAGGGTGGCTCCCGCCTCTTTGCCCAGCCCCCCTCTGCTGATGGAGCCCATGGCCAAGCGTCTGCGGGGTCAGACACTGGTGAGCTGTGGGATCTGATGGGCTACCGAATGGTCCTGAGCTGCCTCTTACCTTAGACAGGAGTCCTGATTCGGGGCACCCGGCGAGGCTGCGTCTGTCCCGGGCCCGTGCTGGAGGCCGCGGGCTTGCGAAAGAACCAGCCGCGGTCTTTCATTGCCCAATGCCTGGCCATTAAGTCCTTCCCCATCGCCCAGAACTGGGTTTCTAGCCCGGGGTTGGAGTCCCCTTGGGGCTAGGCAGGGACCCGCGCTCTTTCCTGGGGGAGGGGGGTTGCAGACTGGGGGCTGCAGGTCGATGGTGCCAGGAGGCACATTACCGTTTGGCCGGCACAGTGTATGCGTGTTTTCCTGAATGTGGATTCTTTCAGTGGGGCTCGCAGGCTCAGGTTGCTCCCGTTTCTCCCACCCTGATCTCTTCACACGTACCTGCTGCTGCAGCATCTTTTGCTTAATTAGCCGGCATTCTTCTCTATTGCTTGTGCTCCAAGAACCTTTGATAAATACTAATCCTAAAATCCTGATGAGCTACAGACAGGGAAACAGAGGAAAGTGATGTGCCCCAAATCATAGGCAGTAAGCTAGGGCTACACAGAAACCCTCTTCCACATGTTGGTCTTGGAGGTCTCCAAAAACCATGCCTCTTCCTCGCTCTCCATCTCTTCCTTGCTCCCCATCTCTTCCTTGCTCCCCACATCCTCAGCAGCTTTCCTCTCCACAGTCAACCGCCTCACTGCCTCCTCTCCTGGTCCTCTCCTCGCTAATGATAGAGGCTGTAGAAACACTTCATCCTTGACATGAATTTATCCAAGCTCATCACAGACACAACAGAAGATTTAATTTTGGCAGAAAACTACAGGTCAGTGATTTCCCTCTTAAAATGACCAACCAAACGTGCGCTTGTCTCCTCTCCCTCCTAGGACTACGTTAAAGTGATAGTAGAAGATACCGATGTTTCATCCCACTGCAAATAAGGATGGTAGAGGGATTGCAGGAGGCCCGAGATTTCTGCCTGATTCTGGAAGGAAAGTGGATGCAGGGCAGGAAGTTTGCTGCCTGAGGCTTGCAAGGTGCTTCTGGTGGGTGAAGCTGTCTTCCTGTCCTGCAGGAGTTTGGGGACTTGGGAGTGCCAAGTAGGGGAGGATCTACGAGTGAAGCGTGTGAGACAAAATGGGACAGGGGAGGGGAGGGTAACGACTGGTCCCTGAGAGCACAGGCCCCCTCCCATGCGCTGCAGGTAGGGGGTGAGCAGAATGGTCAGCCTCCAGGTGGGAATTTCTCAGGCAAGAAACTGAAGAGCTCGCTCTCTGTGAAAGTGATGCTAGTACAGGGAAGAGGAGTGTATATGAAGAGCAGGTCACGAACTCCACCTGCCTCCCCTCGTTCCTCCCGGAAAGCGTGGCCACACCCAGGTCTAATATGCCCCAGGCGGAGCTGATGGCTGATGCCTCCAATTCCCCCTGAACCCTTCCCTACAACTTCCATCTTCTGCGTGGGCATCACATGTGGCCCAGGGCTGTCTCCCTCTGCAGAGCCCAGGGGCGAAGCCCATCAGAGCCGCCGTCTATCTGCCTAGCTAGAGTGAGCATGTGACTCGGTGGGCCCGAGCCGAGTCACAGGCCGTTCGCTGGGAAGCTTGACGTGGGATTGGTGTGGCCTGGAACCGCCGCGGCGACGTTTGTTACCAGGAAGGAAGCCAACCTGAAGCTGAGCCAGCGGGGAGCAGCGAACTCAGACACCCGGTGCCCCATGGCGTAGTGAGCTCAGAATGCGACCGGGCCCGGAGCGCCCTCTACCGGCGGCCTCTGTTTCCGAGAGTCGACGCACTCAGCCTGCGCATCTGCACTTGGGACCGAACGTTTGGCGTCAGTGTCCTTCTCGGTAGTGGTATTCCTCCAGGGCAGTTTGCGGAGAGGAGGGGCTGGGGTTGGAGAGGGCTCTTACAAGTGAAATTTTAAGACCAACACTTCATTTGTTTTCCAACAAATCGGCTACTAGACATGAAGACTTTCCTCAAGATTTTAGAGAGTGTCAGGTAACACGCAATGTTGAAATGCAGAAACCTAAGAGTGTCTACTGGCCAGTGTCCTATATTCTCTGGTGTAGATATTTGTCCCCGAGGTTAAAGGTGGAGCTTCTTAAGGGCAGGAACTTCCGACTTCCTTATCTTAGCTTTCTGCAAGCCCAGTGCAGGACATGACTCCCGACCGAGATAACTTACTCCCAGCCTGCAAGGTAGAAGTTACAAGTATTTCCCCCCATAGGGCCTGGAGAGGTTACAAAATCTTGTCCAAGTTCGCCTGCCTGGTAAATCAATCTTGTGCTAAATCAAGGTATTGTGATTCCAAAATGCCTCCTTGCCTTTGTCTCTTGACCTTCCTGCAAATTATCGATTTCTTTAACCAGGGGAAAAAAAATGACATAAAAACTGCTTTCAAGTAATGAACAACAAATACGATGTAATTTCATAATCAACTTGAGGTACAAAAGTTAAGAATGCCGATCTTTTAGTGAGCGAGAGACTTCTGTTGCCTGAGATTGCCAGAGACATAAATAAGCAAGTACCAGGGTGACATCACGTGGTGAAATTCTACTCTTTAGACACAGTGAGCGGCCTGTCATCCTCACCGCCTGTCTGGGCAACCTGATCTCTTTTCCCCTAGTGGTTATTACTAAGTTTGCTCTAAGAGTTTTCTGCATAGGATTTTTTTTTTTTAAAGATTTTATTTATTTATTTGACAGACAGACAGAACACAGGCAGGGGGAGCAGCAGAGGGAGAGGGAGAAGCTGACTCTCCCCTGAGCAGGGAGCCCGATGCGGGACTCAATCCCAGGACCCTGGGATCATGATCTGAGCCGAAGGCAGAGGCTTAACCCACTGAGCCACCCAGGTGCCCCAGCAATTAACTTTATTACAATACAAACTATTAATGGTGTTCTACTTGACGTTAGAGCAGGTCATGAACTGCTCTATTTTCCTGGAATGTAGTGTTTCTTAACCAGTGGGGAGAGGAAGTGCGGGCCATTGGTTATGTTGGAGCTGGCTCTTAAGATGGCCTGTGAGAGTCCATTGTTAACTATTCAGGAATTTTGCAAGTCAAATTAAATTGTTAAGTTCTTTTAAGATTTTATTTATTTATTTGACAGAGACACAGCGAGAGAGGGAACACAAGCAAGGGGGGTGGGAGAGGGGAAGCAGGCTTCCCGCCGAGCAGGGATCCCGATGTGGGGCTCGATCCCAGGACCCTGGGATCATAACCTGAGCCGGAGGCAGACGCTTAACGACTGAGCCACTCAGGCGCCCCTAAATTGTTAATTTGTGTTGGTGGCTTGAATTGGGCCTGGTGGGCGTATTGACTCCCCAGAAATCAGCAGGTGTTACAAATCTGGGTCCCCCGCCCCCACCACCACAGAGAGTTTGTTTAAAGGTGGGAGCAGGAGAGTGGGAGAGAAATGGTGGGCAGCAGAATTGTCTAGGGAGCTAGTTCCAAAAAACATATAACAAAACTGGTGTGAACCATCCTCTTAGATTGCATCCGTAGATCTGGGAGGCACCTCGGAATCTGCAAGTGAGAAGTTCCCCC